GTTAGGGTTATTTCCAATGGTGGCTTCACAGGATTCATTTCATCTCTAAGCTGCACGATCCTGTGATGATTCAGCTTGGCATTTGCCATGAGTTTGCCTTTCCCACTGATCCACTGCCAGACCAATCACACTGGATGAAACTGCATGCAGCATGATGCTCACCACGGTGTTCCCAGACTCTTCTGTCTGCCACATGTGCTCAGTGTGAACCTGCTCTCATCGGTGAAGGGAATGGGACATCGGTGGTGGACCTGAAGGTTCTGGTGCTCTCTGGATAATGCCAGTCAAGCTCTTCAGTGGTGGGCTATGAACACTAAGTCCAACTAATGATGTCAGGCCATCATTTCACCCTAATAGAGTGACAATCTGATCAGATACATTCACATGAGGATATCACTGGAAGTCATTTTGTAGGGCTCCAGCAGTGCTACCCCTCTTCCTCTTTGCACAAAGCAGCAGATTGATTGATAGTTGATGTCCTTCTGCAGCCCTTTTGTCTCCTTGTGTGACAGCCAATCTCCTGCTGCAGGTATCATCTCATGCTATAACCAGTGATGAGCAAAACAGGAAAAAGCTAAATTATAGATAAACAAGTTTTTTAATTATGTACTTTTTTCTAATAAATTAATTAACAATAACATCTCAATACATTTGCTGTTTTTATTCAAATAGAATACATAATAGACCAAAATATTTTTGATTGTTTGCTGTGCTCTGTATCTTTACATCTGTATTTGTCTTGGACTGAGAACCACCACAGTACAATATCATTTGGGTTTCGTATTGCTAAGTCTTCTTTACGTCCTGTAAGTTGTGAGGTGGGGCTTCCATGGGTTGGACTTCTATCCCTTATTGGATTTTGATCTGGAGAATTTGGAGGCCAAGTCAACACCTCAAACTGGATACTGCCGTTGCCTTCAAACTATTCCTGAACCATTTCACTTTGTGGCAGAGTGCATTATCCTCCTGAAAGAGGCCACAGCCATCAGGGAGTGCAGGTTCCATGAAGAGGTGTACGTGGTCTGGAACAATGCTTAGGTAGGAGGTACATGTCAAACTAACATCCACATATAGGTGCAAAGGTGACGACATAATCAGTGTTGTTCACGTCACCTGTCAGTGATCATAATGTTATGCCTGATCAGTATGCTTCCATGTTACTGTTTACTAATTAAGGTCATGACATAGTTAAGGACTCTTGTTCTGGTTAAACTGAATACATAACCAGATCAACTTTCCTATATCATGTGCAGAATTATAGCACGTGTCATATTTCCACATCATCATATTTCACACACACACACATTCTTGTTAAATTACATTCACCAGCCACTTTATTAGGTGCACTTTGCTAGAACCCAACTGAACTCCCCTTTGTTTTCAGAATTCAAAGTAGAAACATTCCTTAAAGACTTTGGGTCATATTGACATGATTAGCATCACAGAATTGCTGCAAATGTTTTGGCTGCACATCCCTGATGCAAATC